TGGGTCTACTTGGTGGGTGATGCAGAAAAACGGGGATGTTCAATGTGTACCACAAGGAAATTTGATGTTGGGGGAGTGCAGTCAGTAATTCCGTGTATATATATAGGTTTGTGTGTGTGCGTGTTTAATGTTTGGTAATTATATTTTGTTTGTATATATTAAGCATGATGTAGTGATGTAGAATAAGGGGTGGAATGTCGTGGTTTTGTGATTTTGGGTTATCGGTATTCCACATCATAACATCATGTAATGCACTTGTGGTTTTACTGTTGATGCTCAAGTTCTGGGTGCCTGTCCGGAGGAGAAGAACAACTACGTTCCCCAGGGGGCTTTGCGGTCAGTGAGGAGATGTAACTTCTGGCAAGGTCACTTGATGTTCTCTTCTTCGCCTGCTCTTCTTTGCCTGCGCTTCTCCATCTGCTCTTCACTGTCTACTTTTCTTCATCAGCTCAACTGGACTGCACTTCTCACCTCAGCATTGTGGTGAGGCCTATCCACCTTTCGCACTCACTCTCTCTCTCTCATTATATTTTGCTGATACTATGTTTAGTAAATTAGTTTGTTTCACCTCAGATCGTTGCCGCTGTTTTCAATTATTTTGGGGTCCCCTGTTTCCCTTTTCCAGAGGCGCGGATCTGCAGATCCCTCCGCCCCGCTAGTCACGGAACCAGGCCGAACCAGCCCATAAACCGTTGACACTATCACCTGGCTGTAGTATGTTTTCCATAGGGGTCTACAACCCTTTTAGTATCTGGAAACCCATACTGGGACTGTTCACACAGCCTGTCAGGAACAGCCCCACTGCTCCAACTAAGGGGGAGGCTACTGATAACTGAAGTAAAGCTCTATGCTGCAGAAGGACTGAGCTGAACAGTTCCCTTAAAGCTTATTTTACATGTATCCATGCTCATTTGTGATCTGTATCTGGATTATTTGTGGTCCCCAACAGGAGAAGGAGATAGTCACTTTTGCAGTGAGAGGAGTTATAGTGTTCCAAAGGTACACCTGTAAAGGTGAAACACAGTGGTGTATGGTAATAATATAGTTCATGGGGACACCAAAAAGTAATAAGCTGGCTTCTTGCTACAGTCACCTGGACAGTTAGGAATATATATTTTTCCATTAAGTGTTGAACAAAGCTGTTTCTTGAACAAAAGTAACCTCTTCTCTGAAGTGAAAGGTGGGAAGCTGTGACTGCAGTTTGTAGGGCACAAGAAGCACAAACAACATTTTTTGTAGCTATTTTCATTAATTGCAAGAAAGCCAAAATAGCACAGATTTCAGCATGAGCTGCAGAAGGCTGAGGGCACTGTATATTGGACCTGTCAGAAGGGCCCATTCTGTGATACAACTTTTTTTTTTTTTTAATTCACTAAGTAATCACAAATTTTTAAAAGTAATCCAACAAGCAAAACTTTCTTTTTAGTCTGGTGCCACCATTTAACTCCAGATAGCACAACAGCTCTTGGCACAGTATCACCTTTTTTCATAAAGCATGAGGTGGGCTTTTGGGGAAAAGTCCTGCGTGTTGGGCAAAACTTACAAAAGTAAAGATCATCAAATTGCTGCAGTCATATCCTTTAACCTACTATAGTAAGTAGTATTGTAACCATTTAAGTTCAGTGGATCAAATACAAATCTTTCACTTTTAATCCATCACTCAAGGGATGTAACTCAGATATTAAGCATGCAACATGCCATAGGTATCAAAACTAATAGCAGCGTATATTAAATAAATCTTTAAGTAAAAAATAAATCACAAAAACAATTGCTGAGGATCATGCCTGCAGGCTCAACTCTACAACTGTTATTTTTATACATCAGCAACCAAATTCACAACAGATGGATTTTGCACCAGAAAGACATGTGCAGTGAGAAGGAATTTAATCATATCTGGTTTTAATCATAAGCATTAATGTGACTTCAATGTGTTACATAAAGTGCCTTTAGAGTTGGTGCAGTTAGAAACAACAACAAAAAAAAAGTGTTTAGATTTCATTAGCAAATGCATACAAATAGGAAATAAAAAATATGTTTTCCATAGTGCCAAATCACACACAGCCAGATTTCTTTCAAAATGCCTCCATTACAAACAGTAAAGAGGAAAGGATAATAAAAGAATCACTATACAAAAATAATGAGAGTGTTAAGCATATTTTCCTAAATGATTAACACCAACCCTACTTCAAAATGTCCTTCAGTACATGTAATATTACCAAGGAATAATGAGGCAATTTCTTTATTGAACATAAGATTAGGCATGCTATGTTACAGTAGTTATGAGCCAAGAGAGAATCATTATTTATACAAAAATGCAACAGAATCCATACCTCTTCTGGATACAGATACAGAAAAATATTTATGTGCTCTTGATATAGCTAACAGAGAAAAATTCCAACATAGCTGTCTCCTATTTTCTTAATGGCTTGGGAACACGAGGCTCAAAATGTGCTTGAAAAAAAATGACACTGGCATCAAGTATGGTATGAAATAAAGAAAAATGCTCATCTTTTTTTTCCCCAAGCACATGAAATTTCATCTGAAAATGTTTAAATCAAAAAGTAAACATGAGTTGTAATACTATACCTGTAAAATGATTAATTTCATTAATTGCCATTAAAAATTATGTAAAATTTTTTATTAAGGACTTGGTCTACAGAGGCACAACATAAATATAGTAAGTTCTGCTGAAATGTAGTCAGAATACATATTAACCAGTTGGTAAGCAGATGTGGAAACATCAAAAAAGCCATCCACAGATTATAGTTCAAAATTCTGAATTTAGGCAACTGTACTGTTGAAGAGTGTGCTCCAGGACCCAATGCTGCGCAACAGTTGTGCCATGGTCACTCAGTTCATTAGGCAAATGTAGAAGTGTAGCAGAACACACTAGAACGTGAAAAAAAAGTGTTCTAATCCACTCCTTCAAATCCTTCAGCATTTTCAACTGCCATAAGTAGCTTCTCTCGTAGGTCATCAAAAGATTCATAAAGAGGTAAATCTAAGCGATTAAAGCTGAAATCCATCAGGAAAACAATAATTTAATTACTGCATGTAAAATATAGAAAATAAATGCATGGACCCACCTGAGAATGAACACAAGATAAACAGATGGTGTGTGCCCCTCTCTGCCAGCACATGTGCCCAGTCCACATTATGTTTGAACCCATCAAACTTACCATGTGTGAGCTCTGGGCAGTTTATCAGGAGTTCCCCATTGCTCTATTGTAAACAGCTGAGGACCATTTGAACCTGGTTAAAAAATGAAAAATATGAAACCTAGATTACTGGACTCTACAGAAACTACCTCAATGTTATATTAAACTTAAAAATTATATGTTTGCCTTAGTTGTAACCTACATTTTCAGCTGATACAAAATACTGTGTACAAACACCCTTAAATCAAAATTACATTCAAGCAAATAGGGATGCAGTTATATATTATTTCCAAATGCAGTTAACTTAAGTTCACCTAGCTATCCTTTGGTTAGAGTATGTACAATTCCACAGAGGTAAGCTCAAACAGTAGCACTGAAAAAAATAACCATGCTTGGATAAACCTCTTATCTCCTCTTCTTCATTGTCATGAGCTTTATTCCCCATTGACAGCTGAAGTTTTCTTTGAAGGATTTGATCATTCCTGGGCAAGGAGAACATTTACAGAATGCCTGTTGTGAACAAAACTCCTTCTCCAAGCACCCCTACGTTTCTTCAATGCTCTTGGCATCCAGTGGGAGTAAAAGTTGGCTGTCTCTATATTTCAGTAGTGCCCATGCTCTCCCATTCACATTGGGAAGCAGCCTGTAGAGTCCTTGTAGAGGTGAGAATAATCTGCAGGCAGAGGAAAGGAAGCTTACCATAAAGTTCAGCAAATCCATTCATAGGCACACGTGATGTGCCAGTAACAAACTGCAGTAATCGAATACGTTTTTCTGCATCCATCAGTAAAACAGCCTGTTGAGAAACAAACACAGTCACTTTTCACAACTGTAGATGGCATTGTTAAAAACCAAAACAAACTTAAGTGTCCGATCAATGACCTGTACCTGCCTAGATGGTGCACAATGAGCACATCACAATTACAGATATGCCTACCAGGGAGAACAGAGACAGCAGAAAAGCCTCAAAGATCAGATAGAGGAATGTCAAGGTTCAAAACAAACAAACAAACAAAAAAACAGATTGGTATTATGCTATGGCAGGACCTCTTGAGGCCATACCACCGCTTGGATTTGTGAAGCATATGGACTATAGCAATTGTTGATAGAAGTATATAGTCTTCATGTATACCATACATCACCATGAAAATGATAAAAGAAACAAAATTTGACATGCATATAGCAAGCTGTAAGATTCCTGTATTTTTATGAAAAACAGCAGTGACTTTGGAAAAATAAAGATCTACAACTATTATGGGGAAAATTATTTTCCTAGTTCTCCTGACAACATATGCTTTTCATAGAAGTATTCTATTTCAGAAATATAACAAGACACTTCAGATAAAACCAGATATAGAGACTTCATACTTTGAGTTATTCTAGTATAGACTCCAGTAAGTATGACAACAGTCATTTCCAGCATATAATGACATATTTTTTCAGCAGTTTTTGTGAAGAAAACGGATTTTGTAACTGACTCCACAATACACTAAGGGAACTTTGACTTTTAGGAATAGTCAGAGAAAACAAATGTGATAACAGCATTACCTTCCAGAACCACTGGATAACAGGATGATTTGGGCAGTAGCCATTTTTGTAGACTGTATGTTGTCTCCAGTCATTAACGTCAACATCGCCAAGGCCACACATCAGTAACTACATATGAAAATAATTGATGTGTTGTTAATTGAAGATGGTACTGGTATTATCCTATATGCTTTATCAGAAAACAACCTCTCCCTCTGCTGTCTGAGCTAAGTAGTACAAATATAAATGCAGACATAAAGCAATATCAAGCTTTTCTTCAAGAGATTATCTCACTTTACTGGAGAAACATTATACAATATGAAGTATGTATGCTTCATGTGATGGTATCTATTACAGTATTTTGCTGAAAACACAACTGGTATATGTCATTAATTCAGCAAGCTACTTGCATTCTTCACATATGCACATACTAAACCACCTCAATGAGTAATTGATTTTTTGTGCTTTTACTTGATCACTAGATTAGTTTTGGGGAAAAATCTTTATTTCTCACTACAAGTAAAGAATCTTTGTCTCCAAATTCCATGATGACCTATTGAACTGAGAATGTAACACATATTTTGCAATGAACATTACCCATCTATCATCTCTGGACATCAAACAAACTCACCTCTAGTTCATTTTCATCAAAAATTTTAATCAGATCAATAGGAAGAAGTTCTGTGAATCCCTAAGAGAAAGCAAAGGTAAAATTAGCATACCGAGTTAAATTAAGGTTTTATCTAATCGAATTTTTGGATTCATAGAAAACCATTAGCTAAGTAAGTAGTGGAGGGCAAATAAGGGTTTTGAAAATGAAATATACAGTTCCTAAAGTATTGGTAGTCTCTAAAAATTGCTGGATTGTTTCAAACTCAAATAATACAAGCTTGGACAAGAATGATCTTATGAGCGTAACAGAACTTTTATGGCCACGCAAAGCTTCCCACTCCCCTAACCTGATATCGATGAATACATAAATAATTTGGGTAAAAAAAAAGGAAAAAAAAAGAGAACCTTACCTCCAAAAAAGCATTCATTTGTTTTTGAACTCTGTTTACAAACCGCCACTGGATGACCAGACTATAGGAAATAAACAAAAACAAACACATTCATTAGAAGACTAATTAATTAACAACCCTAACAGTTTTAGTTTCTCATTTACAACTTAAGTATCTCCCACTCATACTCTAACATTAGAGAAGCTGAGCAGAGTTTTACTAAATTCTACAGCCTACAAATTCTTTACTATGCTTTCTTTCTAAATGAGGTTGTTATCTAGACACTGGATAATGTGTTTACTGTTAGTATTAGGTACCTAAATGAGTAGACATTTTTATGCTAGAGCTCTAAGTAACCAGCTAAGGATAGTTGTAATTACATTTAACAGCCTGCCCATAAATAAATACATAAATAAATCCTGCAGTATCAAGGGAAACATTTTGTATTTCAGTGCTAACCATCTACAGCATAAATATCTTATAGGTTCTTGAATAATGCTTTAGGAATCCAATACTTTCCTACAGAAGCAGGTTTCATACCTAATTTGCATGAACATAGCAATCATCACATTTTTTCATCTTTGAGGAAGCAATAATTAAAAATGCCAGTAATCATTGGTTGAAGTTATTATTTTACAATTTGGTAGGCTGAAAAACTGAGAAAGCTTGAAATTAAACATAAACAGCTTGCTCGAATTTAGTCAGTTTTTTACAGTGCCACCAGTACTCAAGTCATGGAAACTGTGTGCATGAATTAGCTAGAAGGGAAAAATGGGTTGGTGGCCCCTCTAGAAAGCAGTTTCTGGCTTGTTTTTAACTGAAGCACTTTGAGCCACACTTTGGAGAAGCACATTTTCTAAGGGGGAATTTCAGGAAAACTAGACCATTCATTTCATTTCCTCTACTTTTGTTCTTAGGTTGGACAGTATTTAGGAAACAGAATTTTCAAAGACCTTGCAACATTGGATACTGTTCATATGAAGGTTACTAGAAAATTCCTAGTGATTTTCTCATAACATTTAAATAACATTGATTTTTAATTAGTAGCTATTTATTCATTTTATGTTTTCTTTCTTTTCTGCAATAGACATTACATATAAATAATGCAAATGAAAAACCAGATTTTCTATTAGACAGTGACTCTTCAACATGTACCTACATAGCTCATAAACACTGCAACATGAGAATGCATCATAATTTTATTTTTGCTTGTGTGACAAATATTTGTGGCTACAACTGCATTTTCTTTTTTTTTTTTCTTCCTTGTGTACCAACTAGAACAGTTCTATCATAATGTAATTATTGGGAAAAAAATATTGGAAAAAAAATAAGTTGCATCAAACATTTCCAAATGAGAGCATTCAACCAGAAGTATTTCCTCTAAAGTTATAAAAATACTATGATTAGCATTTAGCTAGAATTATCTAGGTGAAAATGTAACTCAGACATTGAGTTGATGTAGATAAAAAGTGTTTATGATATCTAATATTTTGCATCGGTAAACTGGCAAAAACTGACGTCAGAAAAACTAAACAGCTGACAGCGCAAATATATTCTGCACAAACTAAGAGCAGAAAAAAATCATAATCATAAAATTGTTCTGCTATTACAGTCACATCACTGTAATACAACACAGCAAATGAGATTAACAAGCAAGTATAGTTTTCCTCTTAAAGGAGTTCTTAAACATGTACAGTTCCTGAACCCTTCCTTGAATGAAGACCAGAATAGAAAGCAAATGTGACCTCAGTACATTAGACAAGTTTTCATTCTTTTCTCCAGTTAGTTTACTGTTCAGATCTGCACTGAAGTCCTTCTCAGCAGGCCTACTATCAAGTTCTTCTCCCAGTTTGTATTCATATGTGAAATTAACTTGACCCAAGTGCAAAACCTTTCACTTAGCTTTGTTGAACCTCATTAGGTTCAAGTTTATCAAGGTCCCTCTGGATGGCATCCTGTCATAGTTTTATGATTTTTGGTTATCAGTATTCCACATCATAACATCATGTAATGCACTGTATCTTCTGCTGTATCAAGTGCACTGCTCAGCTTGGTGTCATCAGCAAATGTGCTGAGGGTGCACTAAATCCCATCATCAAACTTTAACACTGTAATTTTTGTATCCAATATCTTGTATCCAATAAATGCCATTTATTTTCATCAGTTTTGGAGGGTGCTCAGAGTGAGCAATTTAGATTACTATATCTGCAATCATTAGTGCAATTCCATCCCTTCTTGAATCACAGAATCACAGAAAATACTGTTTCCCGTTACCTGTCATAGACTACCTTGATGAGCATAATTCATGGAAAATCAAGGTTACATTTCAAACTTTCTAAAGATTTAATGCAAACAAACTATGTTAACAAAGAATATTTTTTAAACGATTTCTGATTATTCATTGTACTACAATAATTACAGTAGGGTAAATTCTAAAACATTATTGCTCAAGGTAAATTATATAAATGTATACATACTCAATATACTCTCTTTTGTTTTCATTTGTTACCATGATTTCAGACCCATTTGGCTTCAGGTCTACTTGATATGTCTGTATATTAAAGAACAAAATACAACATGACATTATTTCAGGACACATTTCTCATGAAATCCACCACCCTCAAGCAGCATTTTACAAGCAGTGCTAGAAAATTATTATAACACAGTGAGTAATGAGACATCCAAATATTCCACAATTCAAGATGACATAATTAGGAACAAATTATTCTATGATTATTCTTAAGAATTAATTATTTTCAAACTTCTAGTCCTGAGCAACAGATTCAACTGGGTAGAGAAAACACATCCTCCCATTTTCATAAGGACAGAAAAATATTTTCTAATTCTTCAAAGTGTTTGAAGAAAATTATTACTTAAAACCCAGAGATAAACTCTACTGTAAAAAAAAAAAAAAAAAAAAAAAAAAAAAAGGACAAGGACAGTCAAACAGGGCGTGGTGCATCAGAAGGGCATGGTGCTGCAGTGTGTGCAGGCAGTTCCTACAGGGCAGGTGAGTACCCTGAACGCTAGAAAGATAAGTAAGATAAGTTCATTGGGTAATGAACATACTGAATGTCTACTATACTGAGCAGACCTTTTTCTTAGAGGTCTGCTGTCTTCCTGAGGCTTGGGAGACGGATGTCACTGAGAAATTACCTAACCTTGTATGACCAACAGACCACAACCCCCTACTGCTTTTCCATATAGGAAAAGATGATGCAACTACATGTGGGTCAAGGGCTTTCAGAAGGGATTTCAAGGCCTTGGGAAGATGGCTCAAGGAACTAAATACACAGATCATCTTATTCGTCACTGTCTCCTGTATTGGGTAAGGATATGGAAACAAATCAAAAGATTTTATCTTTAAATGCCTGGCTTTGTGGCATGTGCCATCAACAGAACTCTGTTTTTATTCTTGACAACCAAATGGCCTACATGGTAACGGGTTTGTGGGCTGTATGGGAACTGCTAAGTCACGGCCTGAACCTCTGATTAATCACCTGAGGTGAGCAATGAGTCAGCCAGTGGAGCACAGGTGAAAGCAATTCACCTGTGCTGCAGGAAGGGGTGGAGCCTGGCCCCACCTCTCCTAGATCCATTTAAGAGCTGACTACCAGTGGGGAGGTGTCTTTTTCTGGTGTTCTCTCCTTTTTGTGTTTGTTTGAGCTCTAGCAAGGGTAAGTGCTCTGTCTGTTCTTTTGTTGGTATTGTAACCTGCTTAGCTAAACTCTCTGGTGTATTTTATAATTTTAATGTTTGTGTATTTGTTGATTTACCAGATACTGTAAAAAGTTATACAACTGTCAATATTAGGCTGATGTGTATGGTGTAAAAGACCTGGGTGTGCTGTTGTGCAAGCAGAAATACTGTATGCATTCTATTGTGGAGAGTGGATTTGCCTATGTTGGTACCCATTAAACACTTATTCTACTTCTTATGAGACCAATGCCCCACCAAGATTATCAGGAGGGGGCAGAAGCAGCATAAGTTAGCATTGGTATGTCCCAGTGCCATTGAAGGTTCTTTGCACCATCCTGATCTTGTTTTTTAGTGACATCTAACAGTGGACTTCTTGAACGTCATTAAAGCTGAAAAGACATAATCAAAAATTCCAAACTCTTTATGTTGTGACAGGAAAAGTTATATCTATGTCTCGATATAAAGTAACTTATGTTATAAACTGTAGAGAATAGCTTGCCCCTGATATGCTCAATCATTGGTTCAGGCAGTTCCCATACATTCCACCCCTTCTTGGCCTGAACCAATGATTGAGCACCTGGTTAAGGGACACAGCTAGCCCTGAGAGCACAGGTGAAAGTAATTCACCTGTGTGACCAGAAGGGGTGGACCCAGGTTCCACTCCTTCCTTAGCCTCATTTAAGGGCTGGCTGCTTTAAGGGAAGAATCTTTAACTGAAAATTCATTCTTTTGGAATGTTTGGTAAGCTCTGATCCTTGGGATGGGTAAGTAAATCTTTCTTTAATTGGTTTGTGATTATCACAGTTTTGGGGGCTGTTTAGAACTGGTTATCTACCATTGCCTTTTCTTGTAGTGTTGAAGGGATTGGGAGTGCAGGTGGTGTTTTCCTCAGCCCTCCCAGTGGGAGACTAGGATCCGGACAGAAGAACTGACTAGTTGAATGATTAGTTGTGTGAGTTTTGTCATGTCGAAAGCTATAGCTTCTATGATATAGGTAGCACACATTAACAAACTGCACAAGAGGAGCAAGAATATACCAGGTAGTAAGTTATTTGGGCTTATTGTGAGAGCTTTAAACTAGAGTGGGGGGGGGGATGGGGATGTACTGCTGAGTGACAGAAAAGGCTAGGGAATGCTGTCTCCCTAGGAAGCAGCAGGGGAAAATTTCAGGTTTGTCTTAGTGGTTTGTGGGAGGGCTCCTTTAGGAAGACTGTGTGTCTGAAAGCCCAGCTGAAGTGTCTCTATACTGATGCACACAGCATGGGAAATAAGCAAAGGAAGTTAGAAACCATGGTGTACTTAAAACACTTTATATCAGTTATGTTTCATGGTGGGGTGACTTGCATAACTGGACCACCATTGAGGGCTATAAACTCCTTAGAAGGGATAGGTAAGGTAGGAGGGGGTGGGGGAGTTGCACTCTGTTAAGAAGTGGATAGACTGTGAAGAGCGCTCTCTGAAAAAGAGGCAGGAACAAATGGAGAGCCTTTGGGTTAAAATTAGGGGTGGAATCAATAAAGGACAGTTGGTAGTTGGGGTCTACTACAGGCCACCTGATCAGGAGGAGTCTGTTGATGAGATTTTTCTGCTGCTTCTACAAGAAGTTTCAGGTGCACAGGCTCTCATCCTGATGGGGGTTTTAAATCACTTGGATATCTGCTGGCATGACAACATGGCAAGCTGTAAGTGATCCAGGAGACTCCTAGAGTCCATTGATAATCTTCTGGTTTGAGTATTGGACAGACTGACTGGAGATGAAGCATTGCTGGACCTGATGCTCACCGATACAGGGGAGCTCATTAAAGATAATAAGATTAGAGGCAGCCTTAGCTGCAGTGACCATGTCCTGGTTGAATTCATCATCTCAAGGAACATGGGCTGGGCAAAGAGTACAGTTGACCCTGAAATTGAAGTTTGTTTAAGGAATTGTTGAATGAGATCTCCTGGGAAGAAGTCCTTAGGGACAAAGCTAGCTACTCTTTAAGGGTGCCTTTCTGAAGTCAAACTAAGGGAAAAGGGCAGGTACAGACAGAAGCAAGGCTATAGCATCCCTGTATTCTTTCCAGATTATGTCTGAACTTGCAGGGATGGGATTAGGAAAGCCAAGGTACAGATGGAACTGAATTTGGTGAGGGATGTTAAAAACAACAAGATGAGATTCTACAGGTACATAGGTCAGAAGAGACAGGCCAAGGAGGGGCCTTCTATAATTGAGTGGTGGCCTTGGTGAACAAAAAGAAGGCAACTGCTGTCATCTACCTGGACTTCTGCAAGGCCTTTGACAGGGTCTTCCACCATATCCTTATCTCTAAATAGAAGAGAGATGTATTTGAAGAGTGGACTATTCATTGGATAAGGATTTGGTCCAGAGGGTTGTAGTCAATGGCTCCATGTCCAGATGGAGGCTGGTAACAGTGTCTCCCAGGGGTCTGTTTTGGGTCTGGTACTCTTTAATATCTTTATCAATGACATAGGCGATTAGATTGTAGGATTGTGCTACTCTGCTATCATTACTGTACTCTTCATCACGTGATAGTATTACAGCATTACACGTTGTCACAGAGTTCTCTCTAGATCTGTGTCCATGACAGGGGGACAGCAGGCCCGCAGGTGCCCCCCCAAAAAAGGGGGAGGTGTCAGGGGTTTATGGGTCAGTTTGGCCTTGTTATGTGACTAATGGGGCAGGGGGCCCCATGCCCTGGGAAAGAGAAAAAGGGGGAAGGGTAGGGAGATGAGCATAAAAACAAAACAGTGGCAACAATCTAAGGAGGAAAGCTGATTTACTAAATATGATATCAGAATGCAAGATAACACAGTATAATACAATTGGAATTGAGGCTAATAAATAATGAGTGTCCAAAACCAAATGCCTTAATCTAAAGCTGAAGGTGAAACAGCTAGGGAAGTGCACTGCAAAGACAAACAGCAAAAAAAAAGAGTGGTCTTTGACTTGCAAGCAGTTTTATCTTTCCTTCTGAATGCAAAGTTCTCTGGGGCATGTTGTTGTTCTTTTCTGAGAACCAGGTACCTGGAAAACTGGCAGTCCACAGAACTGGAGCATTAAGTCATCAATATAATGATACAACCTGATGTTGTCTGGTTTATCCCACTCTGTCAAGTCATAGGCTACCAAACTATGGCAGTAAGTTGGTAAATGTATGTACCCTTGCCTACCCTCCCATGTGAATGCAAATTTGTCTTGCAATTCTTCAGCAATGGGGATACTAAAGAATGTATTAGCTAAGTCTAGGATGCAATGGTAGGTTTCTAACTCCTTACTCAGTGTGTCTAGGAGGGTGGCGATATTGCATACCACAATGTGAATTAGTAAGGTGATCTTGTTTAGTTCTCTCTAGTTGACTATCATCTGCCAAGTTCCATCTGTTTTCCAGACCAGCCATATAGGAGAATGATAAGGGCTATGTATTGGTCTTACGATCCTCACCTTTTCCAATTCCTGTATTGCTTGAGTGATTACTACTTGACCTCCTGGAAGTCTATATGGTCTCATATTAGTGATCCAGTGCAGCTGGGGCACCCAGATGGGCACATGTTTTGCATAGCCCTGTAGAATTAACTGTACCATGCAGACACTAATACTCCTAATTTGTAACTTGATCTCTCCAATATTAGTTTGGAGAGTCAGTCCCTGCAATATACCTATGCTCAATATATACTCTTTCATTGGTGCTATAGGTATTTTATACTTCTGAGGAGGTAGGCATCTAACACCCAATTTTAACCAGGTTTGCGTTACATGGATCACTTTTCTCCCATATCCTCCTATAAGGGTTCATGCTTTGGGAATTTTGATGGGTCACCATAAACTACGTAGACATCTCGGCTCCTGTGTCCGCTAATACCATTACTCTGTATTTCTTGGATTGTCAATTTGATGTACAGCTTCTGGTCTCCTTTGTAGGCCCTAATCCTTGGGGGACCTTGCTCCCCCTTCATGCCATGAGTTGAGAAATCCCCAGGTCTTGTTTTTCTGGAGGCTCAGCTGTGACTGCCTGGGCCCCCTGAGGTGGCTGACATTTCTTAGATGGTATGAGGACATCATCTAGCCTCCACACCTGTGAAGGAATCCTATCTGTGGTCCTGATACCTTCCTTTTTACTGGAGAAAGGTGTAAAAAGCATTGTTTCTCATTTAGTTGCCTCCACAGATTTAGGACGTGATTAGGTTGTTTATCAATCTAAATTGTACTTCAGCCTATATGAGGTCATTCCACATTTCTCTGTGAGACTCTCGCAAGCCCTGATTGTGGAATCCCTGTGGAAGGGTGTTTTTGGGCTTGGACTTCCTAAGGTCAGTATTCTTTTTCTTTATGGCAGCCAGCCCTTAAATGAGGCTCAGGGAGGGATAGAACCTGGTTCCACCTCCTTCTGGTTGCACAGCTTTCACCTGTGTTCCCAGGGCTGGCTGTGTCCCTTCACCAGGTGTTCAATCATTGTTTCAGGCTGTGACTTAGCAATTCCCATACAAACACCTTCCCAAGGGACTCAAAGTCTTTTTTGATATATTTTTTTTTTAATTCCTGCTCACAGTTATGTGACCCAGCTTGAAAGACCAGGAGAGGATAATAGTCGTCTAGCTTTATCATACCAGATATTGTCTCTCAATATCCCTAATGCAGGCTCCTAGCAAACCTCTCTAGAGAGGTTATTCAGGTAGCAGATAGGTACCTCAGTGTCCCTTGATTACTAAGGCCCTTCTTTTTTTCTTTTTTTAAGTGGCACTGGTCTTGATTCAGGTCCTTGGTTGGGCTTTCTTAGTATCATCCCCCCCTTTCCAATTCCAAGCTGCTATCCATAATTAACTTATTTCTCCCACACTAAAGCCTGAAATTTATTAGCTAGTGGGATTTCAGGAGCAAGGGGGAGGTTTCTCCTTTTTCACCCCAAGCAGAGACAAGGGTACAGCCCCCTCATCCTTGTGTTTATTCTCTGGTCAGAAGCCTGCTTATCATCTTTCCTCCCCTGGCTGGGCTCCAAGACAGGGCTGTCTGTCTGCACACACAACCATGTGATACCAGGCATCAATTTCCCTCTCTGATTGCTGAGTGCACCTCAGCTGTTCAAGAAGGTTATCTAGTTGGGCACATCTGCACCCATGATGCCACTCACCTACCCCAGTCTAATGGGTGGCCTCTAGATTCTAGAGTTCCCTAGAGTCAAAGGTCTGGGCAGTGTTTTCAGGAGGTCTGTCCGGGTGCACCAATCAGCCTAGAGAGTTTGTGGGGCCCCTTGCCTGGGTTTCTGCCTGTCTGCCACACTGGGTTGTCACCATGGTGGTACTCAATGGAGAGCTCTCCTCTAGCAACCTGAGATGAGAAGAGCAGTGCACATTGCTCACCCCCCCTGCCCTGTGCAAACTACCCTCTCAAACTGCTGTGCTACACCCTTCTGATCAATCACACTGTTAACCCATCCCATTTTCTCCACTCCTGGGTCACTGTGTTCCCTTCTGGCTGCTTTTCTACATGTGGGGGGTGATCCCACCACTACTCCTGGCAGCTATGCCCCCGCTGCATCAGAGCACCCCTGCCATAAGAAGAGCAGAGGTGCTCAGCAGCTGCTCCCTGACAGGGGCTAACTCAGCCTGTAGAGATGATTCCCTGCTTAGGCATGGAACGTGTCCAGCCCAGAGCTGAGTGCCTTGCCAAAAAGTCTTCTATACTTCTTATGTGGTTTCTGGTTCCAGGATATAAAGCAACTCTCAGTTGGAAGAACTCCCTTTCACTGGTCAGCTGTGAGTGCCAAGCAGTTTCAGAGACTTTCCACTTTCCCTATTTGTTTATTTGATGAATTACTCTTAATTACTCTCTATTATCCCAGATTACTTTACCGGTTTAGTAAATTAGTTTTCTCCTCATCTCAATCAAGCATCTTTTACTTTCTCTGCCAGTCTCTCCCCCTGAGGGGGGAAAGGTAGGAGGGGTAGAAGGCTACTTGTCACATAATAAACCCTCTCAAACCACTGTGATTAAAACACTTTTAATTTGTAACAAAGGCAGTTATCTACAGATTATGAATCTTAGTAAAACAGGCATGCTTCCTTTTGTTTTATCATCTGTCTTCATTCTATATAAAAAAAGAGACACTAAACAACAACTTCACTGATTATAGTTCCACCACTTCTTTTGTCCTCTAAGAACATCTTCAACTATGGAACCCCACATAGTCCCAGGCTAATACTATTTTACAATGAGGATTCTATAACAACTTTATTATCTTCAAATACTGCTTTTTCAGAAAGGCATCATATTGCTAATTGACAAGAACATCGTTTCCTTCTTTGGACTTAAATAGTTTGGGAAGAAAGATAAGTTAATATTTGAAGCCTCCCTATACTGATCATTAACATTCAGCAGTCCCAATTGAATTGAGTTGACAACCAAGAAATACTGCTCAGAATTTAATTACTTTTTGGCAATAACCAGTAAGATAGAATTATAGACTTCCGGGTTAACCTTTACACACCTGTCCGAAGTTTTCCTCATCAATGCAAAACATGAGATCCAGCTCTGTAGGGTCATTTTCCAGGATCCACTTCAAAGAGTTGTAGTATTCACTGTCCTATAGGAGATTAAATTCAAAAAAGTTTGGAAACATAAACATTAATTACGTGATTTAATTTTAAAATAAAAACATTTAAAATTAGAACACGAAAGAGGTTAAAGGGATGGGAACCTGTTTATTTGTACAGCTACTGTAAAGGAGGACATGACAGATTACTGTATTAATTTCTATTTTTTTTTAAACTGGCATATTTCTAGATTTAACTTCCCTTAATTGCCTTTTCTCTGGGTTATTATTCAATAAAATGATTGTACATATATATATTTGGTACACATGTATACAGCAACCAGTAACTACTGGTTAAAGAAGAGTCTTGAAGCTCTTATTTTCAACACAATTTATATGCCACTTCATTACATCAACAGTATGTTATACAGTAACTGATTGCATTGTTGTTATTAAAAGCTCTTGAAGTTTCTTGAGAGGGTTGCATTGTTGTTATCATAGAATGGCCTGGGTTGAAAAGGACCTCAAAGATCATCTAGTTTCAACCCCCCTGCAATGTGCAGGAGCACCAACCACTAGACCAGGCTGCCCAGAGCCACATCCAGCCTGGCCTTGAATGCCTCCAGGGATGGGGCATTCACAACCTCCTTGGGCAACCTGTTCCAGTGTGTCACCACCCTCTGAGTGATAAAACCTCCTCCTACTATCTAACCTAAACTTCCCCTGTTTCTGTTTAAAACCATTCCCCCTTGTCCTATCACTATCCACACTTGTAAACAGCTGTTCCCCCTCTTGTTTATATGCTCCCTTCAAGTATTGGAAGGTCACAATGAAGTCTCCTCACAGTCTTCTCTTCTTCAAGCTAAACAAGCCCAGTTCCCTCAACCTTTCTTCATAGGAGAGGTGCTCCAGCCCTCTGATCATCTTAGTGGCTCTCCTCTGGACCCGCTCCAAGAGCTCCACGTCCTTCCTGTACTGGGAGCCCCATGCCTGGATGCAGTACTCCAGATGGGGCCTCACAAGAGCTGAGTAGAGGGGGACAATCACCTCCCTGTCCCTGCTGGCTACCCCTTTTTTAATGCAGCCCAGAACACAGTTGGCCATCTGGGCTGCAAGCGCACGCTGCTGGTTCATGTCCAGCTTCTCGTCTACCAGGACCCCTAAGTCCTTCTCCATAGGGCTGCTCTCAAGGAGATCTTTGCGTATTCTGTATAACCACCTGGGATTGCCCCAGCCCAAGTGCAGCACCTTTCACTTGGCCTTATTGAACCTCATTAGGTTCACATGGACTTACTCAGCCTGTCCAGGTCCCTCTGGATGGCTTCCCTCCCTTCCAGTGTATCGACTGCACAGCTCAACTTGGTGTCATCTGCACACTTGCTGAGGGTGCACTCATTGCTATCGTCTATGTCCTTGATAATGATGTTGAAGAGCACTGGTCTTAAGATTGACCCCTGAGGGACACTGCTTGTGACCAGCCTCCACCCTGACGCAGAACCATTTACCACAACTCTTTGACTGTGTCCAGACAACCAATTCTCAATCCACTGAACAGTCCATTCTTCAAATGCACACCTCTCCAATTTAGAGAGAAGGATGTGGTGAGGGACCATGTCAAAGGTTTTGCAGAGGTCCAGGTAGATGACATCCATCGCCCTTGTCCTGTCCACCGATGCCATCACTTCATCATACAAGGCCACCAGATTGGTCAGGCACAATCTGCCCTTGGTGAAGCCATGCTGGCTGTCTCGAATCACCTCTGTCTCGTATGTACCTTAACATAGCTTCTAGGAGGATCTGCTCCATGATCTTCCTAGGCACAGAGGTGAGGCTCACCAGCCTGTAGTTCCCTGGGTCTTCCTTTCTCCCTTTCTTAAAAATGGGAGCAATGTTTCCCTTTTTCCAGTCACTGGGGACTTCACCAGACAGCCATGATTTTCAAATATGAGGGAGAGAGGCTTGGCAACCACATCAGCCATCTCTCTCAGAACCCTAGGATGGATATCATCCAGCCCCACAGACTTACACACATTCAATTTCATGAGGTCTCAGACTTGTTCCACTGTTACCGTGGGATGGAATTCGCTCCTCTCACCCTCACCTAGAGCTTCATGGTCCTGGCAGACATGGGAAGGAGCCTGACCACCCGTGAAGACCGAGGCAAAGCACTCGATGAGCACCTCTGCTTTTTCCATTTCTGGGTGTATGAGAACTGCTGAGTCACGGCCTGAATCTCTGATTAATCACCTGAGGTGAGCAATGAGTCAGCCAGGGGAGCACAGGTGAACGCAATTCACCTGTGCTGCAGGAAGGGGTGGAGCCTGGCTCCACCTCTCCTAGACCCATTTAAGAGCTGACTCCTAGTGGGGATGGATCTCATGGAGATTTGCTCTGTGGGGGTTTCCTGATTGTGCCTGCATTATGGATTTGCATCCTATTTATTCTCTTTGTCGTGCTTTGCCTAACTCTCTTGTTTATT